CATCAGCAGCTCGCGCAGTGTTGGTTGCTTGGTAACAGACCTGAGAGTGGATTGTCGAGCTTGATAATGCAATTTAAGATTTCCTAACTAGAGATAAGATACGATTTTGTAAGATAGGATAAGAATCCCAAATCAAGTTTAGATTTGCTTCTGTAATACGAATTTCTGAAATATCCTAATTTAACATATCACATCTTAAGTTAAGACCTAAGATAAGAAACTTTCTGTAATACGCCCCCAGGTTCCTAAATAAGTAAGCTTTTTCATATACATAGAATAAAAAAAATTTCCTCTGCTTCATTTGTCCTCATTGCTCAGTCTTGACATAAGTAAATTTGATTAATATAGCACATTTAAACACATCGATGCTGAACAGAGAAAACTGTCCATATCCATCTACATCAGCACCATCAGTATTCATTCTAGAGTCTAGACTCTCAGTCTGATGTGAAGTGTGAAACTCCACTGCAGCTTATTTCTAACTGGTTCAATGGATAAAACTCACCCCATGTTACAACACTCCTTATGTTGAGTGTTACGTGGAATAGAAACTGCAGCAGTTCCTATTTTTTTGTCTCTCGCCTCATTTCTAGATGGATCAGTGCTTATGGAAATGCTATTTCTGTTTCACTGGGCACTCTGAAAGCATGGCATCTGTGAATTGCTTTGGGAGAGTGTGTGTGAGGGAGCGATAGAGTAAAAGAGGAAGTTGTGACAGCACTCTGAGCTTTGTGTTCCTGCTGTGGCCTCTTGGCACCCACAGATCAGCATCACTCATCTCTTCCAGTCACCCTCTCCCCTCTATTCTAACACTTTATCATGGCTGAATATTCGTTAATCATATAAGGCAATGCACACTCGGTAAAACGATATGATATATAAGTCACATGTTTAAAAGTGATGGGATATTGATGTACTAATCTACTGCAGGCATTTAAACGGATTACTAGAGCCTTGAGGAAACCAGCAAGAGAGATAGATGGTAGATGAACAATACATAAAAAAAAAATTAAAAAAAACAGAGAACTAACAGGTAATTATTATAAAAAATTTAGTGAGCCACTTGTGTCATGGGCCTTTGTGAGTTTATTTCTGGTCATCTGTGACATGTTTTTGTGTGTCTCAATCCTGACACCCTGGTCGATTTGGTTTTTGGGACATTTACAGCTCTACAGAAAATTAAAGTGTCAATATTCATCTTAAGTCAGTTCAGTATTGATTCAATTCATTAGCAGTTGCAAATTTGTCTTGTCTTGACAGAGTCATTTGATATGGTTGTTCAGAGGTTGTGCTAGTTTTAGAATATTTTTACTAATTTATTTCAATAAAAATCTGTTATGAAATATCTTTAATTACAACGTCATGTGAACACCCTTACGAAAATTAACCATGGTTTTACTACAAAAAAAAAACATGCCTACTATAGTTAAACCATGGTAACCACAAATTAATCATGGTTTTTGCTAGTTTAACCATGGTATTTGTAGAAAAACTGCGGTTATACAAATGGTAATCAATACGCCAAAAAACAAACAAACAAAAAAACATGGTTACTACACAAAAACAATGGTTGATTTTTCGTAAGGGCAGTCATTTAGTAGACACCTCTCAGAAATCTCAGTTCGAATCGGACCGAAAAGTAACATGCGGTTCAGTCAGAGAGTCAGTAGTAAACTAATTTACAGTACTGAACGATTCACTGACTCAGTAAAAATAATCCGTTCATAAGAGTCATTTGTTCGCGAATTGAACATAACGGCTCGCGTTTTGTCCGCTATGCCTGCTGTAAACACGCGAACGCTAAAATTATAATACACTAATGCCATCTCGCGAGATGATAGTCGGATTAGACTTTAAATCAGGGGTCACCAAACTTGTTCTGGAGGGCCGGTGTCCTGCAGAGTTTAGCTCCAACTTGCCTCAACATACCTGCCTGGAAGTTTCAAGTAGGCCCTAAGACTTTGATGAGCTGGTTCAGGTGTGTTTGGGGTTGGAGCTAAACTCTACAGGACCGAATCTGGTGACCCCTGCTTTAAGCTACTGTTGCAAATGTCAGTACTTGGGGTACTGTAATAATGATTATCTCTTTTAGCTCAACCCCTTCCTGATCTATGAAAGAAGCCATGCCAGTCCTCTCTGCAGGAGCAGGTGCGCTGCACGTCCACCTCCACAAAAACACATATGTAGGCCTATATGTATAGTAACAGTATTGACACTCACTGATCTCCTGTTTGCATGCAGGGTTGCATGAGACGCTTGCCCTGCTGACCTCACAGCTGCGTCCAGATGCCAATCACAAAGAGGACATGGTCTTCCTCAAGGATGTCTTCAGTGAGAGGAGTCTCAGCTACCTGATGAAGGTGTGTGTGTGCGTGTGTGTCATTAATGCAGGTTTTGCATTGAATTCACTTCATATATGCAGCATCATATATTATAAATTATTTACAGCATGCATCATTTACCTTAGCTTATTTTTAAATGTATGCTGGAAATGTGTAAGAGACCAGTCATCTTCAGCTCTGTATGGGCATTGTACGTATATTTGCTAGATCCATGAGAAGTTGCGTCAGTATGAAAGGCAGAGCCCCACCCCAGTTCTTCACAGTGCCTCCACTCTGGCAGAAGATGTAAGTGCTGCAGTCTGTCATATCACATCACCATAGGCAAGATTAATGGTGTTTTACAATAATATATGAGAACAGAGGTTAATGGTATCTGGGGGGAATGAGGGAACCCTAAAACGTTTGACTCAGCAACTTTAGCAAAAGTAGAACTTACACTTCACTGAGAAAGTTAATTAAATTGTATAAGAATGTGTGACTCTAATTTAGCCATACTACAGGGACAATGTCCCTAGTTTCTTTTTTATTTTATATAAAAACAAATAAAATAAAAAATATTAATAATCATTTATTTAATAAATAACAATTGATAAAAAGTAAATGTACCACATTGTGAAACATAAGTAACCTATATTTAATATTATAATGTTTAGAATAATTACTTTTTTTTTAAAGAAGCCTCTTGTGCTCACCAAGGCTGCAATTATTTGATCACAATTTAAAAATAATTTTGATATTAATATTTTGAAATATTATTATAATTTAAAATAGTTGTTTTCTATTTAAGTAGATTTTGAATTATAGCTTTTATTAGAATGATTACTAAAGGATCATGTCACACTGAAGAGTAATTCACAGGAATGAATTACATTTTAAAATAGATTAAAACAGTTGGAACTAAATTGTAATAATATTTCACAATATTTCTGTCTGCCTGTCTGTTTGTTTACTTAGTTGATCAAATAAATCCAGCCTTGTTGTGCATAAGATGTTTGTCTCAAAAACATAAAGGTTGTAATTATTCCAAACTTTTTTGACCCGTAGTGTATATAACTGTAAAGATTTATAATATTTTTTTCAATTCTTGGATTCAAAATGTTGTAGTAAGCTGTAGTGAAGTGTTATATTTGACAATATTATAAAACCATTTTTAAAGTCAGCTATTTGATAGCTTGTTAAGTGCTTTGATTTTGTCTAACCACACTGATTGGTAGGTGGCAGAGGAGCTGCAAAGTGGACCAATGAGTGCTGAGGAAAAAGAGCTGCTACATTTGCTGACATCACCACATCTCCAGGTACACTTTTATTGTGAGACCTTTATGATAACTTAGTCAAAAACAAAATCTAGAAGCTCATATCCCTCCTGCTTGGTAGGCGGTTTTGTCAGTGCACGACACGGTGGCGCAGAAGAACTTTGACCCAGTGCTGCCTCCTCTGCCCGATGACTTTGAGGATGAGCTAGACGAGGAGTCTGTCAAGATTGTCCGCCTAGTCAAAAACAAAGAGCCACTGGTAAGAGAAAGAAACAATGCAAGTTGCACCAATACAGTGACCCTGAAAATATTAGGACACTTCAACCAGTTTTATTTTAATATTATTTATATATTATTATAGTGTTTAGTAATATTTTGGAAAGCTTTTTTTTTGTAGTTCTACAAAAAAAGTAGTTTTTTTTGGTAGTCTTTTTTGTTGTAGTTTTAGTATTCATTTGTACTTTTGTCATTTTATTATTATTATTTTTTATATTTTTATATATTTATTTATTTTCAGTTTTAGTAATTATTTAGTAATATAAGTTTTTTTCGTTTTAATAAGCAAATAACAAAACTGACTTGAACAACATGTAGGAATGCAAGATGATGCAAGAATGATGCAAGAATGATGCAAGAAAATGAATACGCTGTAAGTGTGAAAAGTGTCCAAATACGTTTTGGGTCACTAAATATGAAGACTTGTTTTTTGAAAAGAAAAGTTGAACAAGATTCAAAACAATTGGATCTATCAGCACCACCATTGTTTAGGTCATTGTTGTTTGGTGTTTCTCTGCAGTTCTCTTCTCTTTGTCTCTGTCTGTCTCTCAGGGTGCCACTATTCGGCGGGACGAGTCCACAGGGGCTGTGATTGTGGCTCGGATCATGAAAGGAGGGGCTGCAGACAGGAGTGGTGAGTGACACTTCAAAGAATTTGTCTTCAATCTTGCGGCCTCATTTTACCCCATGCTGAAATCCATAATAATCGTAATGGAAAGCTATTTTACCAAATATTCTCCTGAAAATCTTTTTCAATTACCACTGAGTATATTAATGGAAAACCAGTGCAGTATTCAAAGGTCCTATATTCATCTCTAAACCTACCGAATTGTCTGAATATCCCTGCACCTCTACTGAATGTGCTAGATATGGTTATTTTTCCCTCCTGTCTGCTGCAATGACACTCTGTCTGCTGCCCATCTGCGTGGTCAAAGAGAGTCTCCAGAGACCCAATCAAGGGAATCAAACAGACTCACTAACCACCTGACCACAGCTGTTGCCATGGGTATATAATGTGTGTGTGTGTGTGTGTGGTGGGAATGATCTTTTTGTCATTAAAAAAATAATTGAACTATGCCTATAAAGTGTATTATTACACACAGCAGTTACAGCTTGAACATGTGGTAGTGAATCTGTAAATCAGGTAGCCCTCCTCTCTCCACAGGTCTGGTGCATGTCGGGGATGAACTGAGAGAGGTCAACGGCAGCTCTGTAATGCACAAGAGACCAGATGAGATCAGTCAACTGCTGGTAAAACTTCTCTCCTGGACCTTCTCCACATTCATTTGGCATAATTCAATACAAAAAAAAATCCAAATCATAAGAGCATTTTAAGCTTGACACAATGCCTTAAAGAGGTCATATGATGTTGCTAAAAAGAACATTATTTTGTGTATTTGGTGTAATGAAATGTTTATGCGGTTTAAGGTTAAAAAAAACCCAAATTATTTTCCACATAATGTACATTATTGTTTCTCCTCTATGCCCCGCCTTTCTGAAACGCGTCGATTTTTACAAAGCTCATCGGTCTGAAAAGCGAGGTGTGCTCTGATTGGCCAGCTATCCAGTGCATGTGATTGGCCGAATACCTCAAGCGTGTGACGGAAATGTTACGCCCCTTACCATATTGTGATGCCGTGTCCCGGTCGGAACGACGAGACAAAAACATTAAAATCCATTATAAACAAGGCATTTGTTGCATCCAGTGGGGACATAATTACGGATTATAATGACTTATACTGTCTTTTTACGCATATATATATATATATATATATATATATTATTAATATAGTTATATTATTTTAATTTGTTTTTTTTATTTGAAATATTGACCATACCATAATCATTTATGTTTATTGTCAGAATAACAGAAGTAATTGAACTGTTTTATTTTTTCTTAGTCTCAGTCACAAGGCTCTATCACACTGAAGATCATCCCAGCAATCCGAGAGGAGGACAAGCTGAAAGAGAGCAAGGTAATTGACTATAAAACGGGATAAAACATTGTAATTTATCAGTAATCAGTCCAGCATCTCTCCAGTTTTTGCCTTGTTCACTGGATTTACATCTCGTTCATACCATGTGTTTTCTTCAGGTCTACATGCGGGCGCTGTTTGATTACACTCCATTGGAGGACAAAGCCACACCGTGTCAGGAGGCAGGGCTTCCGTTTAAACGAGGAGACATCCTGCAGGTGGTCAGTCAGGATGATCAGACGTGGTGGCAGGCCAAGAGAGTGGCAGACTGCAACCTGCGTGCAGGACTCGTCCCATCCAAACAGTTTCAGGAGAGGTGGGAGAAAACATCCATAAAACACACACCCTACTACCTCAAAGCTAGTCAACACATCAAAATTAGGAGTTTATTGAGGCAAAAGTCATAGTTATTAAAATGTTCTTTAAAGTAGAACTTGACATTATTACAAGGTATACCTTTAAAAAATGATCTTTAAATACACTGAAGTGGCATTTAATGTCAATAATATTAAAATATCTGAAAGTACAATTTTTTTATATACTTTTATGATTTGAAGTGCTCATTCAGTCCAATAAAGCATGCTTCTTTGATTATTTTCCAACCCCGGCTAGCATTTTTTTTTTTACACAAGATAACTTGGGTTGCTTAAAAACAATTGTCTTCAATATCAGAATGACTACAAAATTAGCTTCAGTGTGTTAAAAAGACAGTTTTATGTTTGTAAATAACAGCACTATTAAGTGTTTTGTGAATCAGGTTTATACGATCAGTGTGGCTGCTCCACCATTGCAAACAGTCTCTCAAAGCTGTGCTTTCCTTTATTCTAAATCAATAAAATTAATTCTAAATTATTCTCCCTGTAGGTTTTATTAGATATAGATGGGCCAGCCTGGCTTTTTGTCCCCTCTTTTATCTCAGAAGGGTGCATATTAGCTGGATATACTCTCATGCTAAGAACGGGAGTATTTCTTTCTCACTGTTGAATTTCTTTGATCTCACTCAATAGTATATCTGATGGCTCCAGAGACAGGGATATCAAGTCAAACTAGTACAAAACATTTTTGTCAAGGCATTTGATGTTTTTGCACTGTTTGAAGTTCTACCCATATGGTTTTTCCCCTCAGGCGGTTAGCCTACAGAATAAAAATGGGCTCCCTTCAATGCTCCAAGTCTCCAAAAAAAGCTGTCTGTGAGTATTTCAGTAATTCTTCCTTCCTTACGGAAAACCCCTTCAGTTATTAATCAGTGTTGACTAACAGGAGGCATAATTTGCTGATGTGTGTGCTTGTGTGAAGTTGCCAGGTGATTATTGGGCTCCAACCAAGCGCTTCATGTTCACTAATCTAAAGCTGATTAGAGAACAGACACATCTACAGTTCAGCAACATGCGACAACAAACACCCTTCTCACTCGCTCTCACAGACTCTCATCATGTGCATTCATTTATGTCCCCTCCTCTTCTGCTTCTTCCTTTGTTACTCCATCTGTATGTGGGTCTTCACTGCTGGGCGCACTTTGACCTGCATGATGTGGGAATGATGGAATTTATGAAGCTCTATTTAATAAATAAACTCAGGGCCAGTTTTAGCAGTTTTCCCATTCCAAGTAAATTAAGTCTGCAGTTTTGGCTTCTTTTGTCATAATATATTTTCCTTTTTTGATTACTGCTGACACCAGATGACCAGGAATGTGATAAAGGTGGGTCTTCAAGGTCTGAGTTCACACATTCACCCGCAAATACACACAACACACATGTTGGTTCCATGGTGATTAGTAAATTAGGCCAGTGTGTCACCTAATCTATGTTAATTCTTGGAAAGAGACAACTGCTGTTCTACTATAAAC